CGAAGCACGGGATGCTTTCACAAAGCATTTCTGGGGCGAATTACAGCAGGCGAAATTCCGCGAAAAAATCTACATGGGTCAGTACCGAGCTACGAAGACATCCAGGATGTCGGACTACGCTTTGGACCTGGCGCGACAAGCGAAATATCTTGATCCGCCCATGAGCGATTTGGAGATCATTCGCTGCGTAAAGAGACATTTCGATGCAAGTGTCACGCACGAAATAAAATGGTCGACAACCAAGAGCATCGCAGACCTCGTAGACATACTGGAAGAAATCCAGGACGAGCGAAGAACAGCCACTGACGCCAAATCCGTCAAGGAGAGATCCACAGAGAAGACTTCGACGAAGACAGCGATAATGAAGAAGCAATATATTCCGAGTCGAAACCAAGTATCGCACTGGAAGAATCCAGAACTAAAAGCGATCGAATGGTACGGACAGAATTCGGAAACGAAGATAAATCCAAAACCGAAAGTACAATTAGACTCTGGATGCGATCCCAGAATGACTCTTGGTCCACGTAGAGGCGCGAAAGCTTCAAAAATCCCGAATGTTCCAGGAGTAAAGGAGCAGAAGGAGGTAGCGACGATTAGGCGGAGGACAGACTCTTCGACAAATAGTTCATCTTCAGATACCCAATCCGATTCTGAAGAAAATGATTCGAATAAACAAAACGAATCGCGAACAGATTTGAACAATAGTATCAAATCAAACGAGGATCAACAAAATCTTAAATCAATCTCGGCCATTACAAGAATACCCATACGAGAAACAACAAAGAAGAATTCTAAAAACCAACAAACAACTAATCGAACCGCACATATAGAAAAATTTATTGCTAATAAAATAGATAGATTATTCAAAACAGCTCAAACTCTATCAGTTAAATTGCAACAAGAAACCGAACAACAAATAAATCAATTATTTCAGTTGCAAAATAAATTAACAACAAAGATCAATAGAAAACTAAATCAAATTAAAAAGTTACAAAAAGCAAGAGAAGAGCCTACCGAAACACCCAGGGTAAATAAATTTAAGAAATATCTACCTATTGGAAGAGCAAATAAAGAAAATAAGTGCAAGAATTCTACGAAAAAATACCGTAATATCAAGAAACAACACACGGACACAACGAAAAAACTACCTCTGCAAAATAACATCAAAATGATCAACAACATATCGAAAATAAATCAAGAACCGATAGACCAACTTCAAATTAAAACAAATACACAAAAAGAAAAATCATCAACGAAAATACGTAAAATAGAAGGGGGCAGCAGGCTTAATAAAATATTGAAAAAACATCAAAAACTATTTGAGAAAGGAATCGGCAAGGTTAACCACTATAAACACCAAATAGAAATGACCGACACAAAACCATATAAAAAAAAACCATATCCAATCCCCGAAATTCATAGAAAAGCAGTCGGTGAACTAATCAAAGAATGGATACAACAAGGAATAGTGAAAAAAGCCCCAACAGAATACATAAATCCTCTCGTAACTGTTAAAAAAAATCAGGAGATTTAAGGATTTGTTTAGATGCGAGAGAAATCAATAAAAAAATGACAAGCGATCACGCACAACCACCAACCATAGACGAAGTATTTCACCGAATTGGAAATAAAAAATACTTTTTGACTCTAGACATCACCCAAGCGTTCTGGGAAATCCCATTGGACAAATCTAGTAGAAAATACGCAGGTTTTATCTTTAACGGACAAACATACGTTTTTAAAAGACTACCGTTCGGCCTCAAAACAGCAAGCGCAGCATTCACAAGAGCTATGAATAAAGCATTAAAAAATGATAACCTAGAATATGTAATCGTATATCTCGATGACATATTAATCGCATCAGATAATCTAGAAGACCATTTAAAACACATAGACAGTGTACTAGAAAAACTAGAAAAAGTAGGATTCCGACTAAACAAAAATAAATGTGAATTTATTAAAAAAGAAATCAAATTCCTAGGACACACATTTGACGAGATCACAGCTGAAATTAATGAAGAAACAAGATGCGCGGTAGAATCATTTCAAAGACCCAAAACACAAAGAAACGTACAAGCATTCTTAGGATTAGTAAATTGGGACAGAAGATTCATTAAAATTTAGCGAGATTAACCAAACCATTAGAAAATCTCCTAAAGAAAAACAAAAAATTCAAATGGACAGAGATAGAACAAAAAGCATTCAATGACATCAAACAAGCTTTTAGAGACGTACCAACATTATACTTATCTAAACCAGGAATGAATTACGGAATAGACGTGGATGCATCTAAAACAGGACTTGGCGCGCGGCTATATCAATTTGAAGAAAATAAAGAACACCAAAAGTTTACAATAGCATACGCAAGCCGAAGCTTAAAAAACGCAGAAAAAAACTATACCATAACAGAAATCGAATGCTTAGCATTAATATTCGCGCTCAAGAAATGGCACGTAATATTGATGGGAAGAAAAGTAAAAGTCAATACAGATCATCAAGCACTAAAATTCGTAAGCTCATGTGCAAATGCCAGTGAACGAATAGCACGATGGATGTCTTTCCTACAAGAATTTGACTTAATTATTAATCATATCCCAGGAAAGGAAAACAAAATCGCCGACACGTTATCAAGACAATTCGCGAATGACGCAAATCAAAAATCAATTCAAAACGAATTTAACATATGCTCTATTTTGGATACAGAAAAAGAAGATAAACCGGAAAAATGGATTCAGATAATCAAAGAAGCCCAAAGAACGGACCAACACCTCCAAAACGAAATCCAACGAGCAAACCCAAATATAAAAATGCGCGACGAATTAATTCGCATAAATAACGGAACAGAAGAACGCATTATTATCCCGAATAAAATTGCGTGAGAAATAATAAATTCCGTACATAAATTTTTGATTCATTTCGGCACAGACAAAACAATAGGATTTCTAAACAAATACTTTAAAATAAACAACGTGAGCCGATTGACTCGCGACGTAGTAGCGTCATGTCAAACATGTATAGCAGCAAAACATTATACAAGACCAACAAAAGGCCCACAATACTATGACTTGCCAACCGATAAAAATCAAGTCGTATCGTTAGATCTATTCGGACCTCTCCCAAAATCAAAAGGAGGAAAAAAATATGTGATAGTAACAATGGACCAATTTTCAAAACTAATAAAATGTTTCCCAATAAATGATCAAAGAATAGAAACAATCATTAGAATACTACAAGAAAAATTTCTAACGATTATGGCAAAACCAAATACATTTGTAACAGACAATGGCGGACAATTCCTATTGGAAAAATGGGCAAATTTTGCAAATAACCAAGGAATCGAAATTAGAAAAACATCTCCATATAACCCACAATCTAACCCTGTTGAACGAGTCATGAAAGAATTAGGAAGAGTAATAAGAACTTATTTTCACGACAAACATACAAAATGGGACAAAATTATTGATAGATTTGAAAACACAACAAACGCAACACACCATTATTCCACAGGACAAATACCCAGTGAAATGCATCCCGAAATCCAGGCCAAACTACAAATCGTAAGACAATTGCTCCCAGAAGAAGCAATAAATAACAATCAACAAGAAATAAAAATAAAAGTAGCAGAACACCTTAAAAAACGAGCTAAACAACGACAAATCCAAGCAGAAAAACACCAAGCAGCAAAAGAATACGAGGTTGGAGACCAAGTATGGGTTAAACTACATAGGAGATCAGATGCCAGCCGAAGAACTACGAAAAATTACATCTTATATACAGCGGACCATATATCATCCAAAATATCATAAGAAAAAACGCATACTTAATACAACAACTAGATGGAACAATTGTAGGAACATACAATGCGCGACAAATTAGACCCCATCGCGAACCACAACTAAAAAATCAAATACATAACACAATAGAAATTTCAGACGATTCGGATCAAGAAAACCATATAATAAATATGATTTCAGTCATTCCAACCGAACGACTATCAAACAACTATAACACAGAGAAAAATAATCTAAACACTCCAAACCAAAACATCATAAAAACAGATATAATATACCCGAACACAGAAATATCCATTTCAGAAAAGGGATTTACAAGAAATATCTTCATTAATCATCAACATCATTTTCCATGGCACATAATACAGGAAAATAGTCCGAACACACAACAACGAATTGACGAAGAATCAGATCATGGATACACCTATACAGAAAAGTTCTCCCTATATGACTACACGGATAATACGACAGTAATAATCACGACGACAACAAATGTAAAGTGCGACAAGGGAATCGAACATATGACATCTAAGCCGATCATAGTTACCCAAGAGATAATCGGAAAAAATTTCCGAAAGAAAGTTGAAGCAGATTGGGCTGGCAGAATGGCAACATACGCCCTAGAAAAACTCAATAGAAACAAACCCTTCGTAATTTACGATAACAGGAAAATTACAAAGGACATAGAAGAACACCGACAAAAACTGACCAATCACTTCAACATCCACAAGAGAAACAATCAAACCATACAACCACTCAGAATAACACCACAAACGATTCTATGGAACGAAAAATCCATAAAACACAAAAATCACCACAACGCGACTAAATAATTAAGTTAGACTGAATATAAGAAATGTGTGAGTCTCTCTAATTAATCTCTTATTGGTGACACAGTTGTTGTCTTTATAGTCACATAGCTGGTCTTTATCTATAATATTTAGGAAAAGATTATTGAGCTTGAATACGTGGCCTTGTTATCTTGGTGTAGTGAGAGATATCATAATATGTAGTACTTTCTTAGTGGCATGTGAGAAGCGTTGTTTTACACAACCCTGAAATTGAACAAATATATTTATAACTTTGAAACGTGATAAATATTATAAATAACATATAGTTTGGATCCGTTCGTTTAGAACCTGTATTTCATATTGTAATTGGTTATTAGACTTATAATAATATAAAAGTAATACACACATACCTATATTTTAAATATATATAAGTATAGACTTGTGATAACTTGCAATGTCGTATGAAGAATAAAATTAGAAGTCTTCCTTGAACTGAGTTAATATAGACTATAATCGTAGCATAATTTGCTCTTCTTGCACTGTGCTAGATCTAAACATCAAATATTAATTCAGAATTAATAATATTAATAATAACTATAATCTAACTAGACAAATAAATAATCAAGAGTGATTTATCTTACCTGTGTTTAATACAGTGATGGAATATAACACGTAAAACATTTGTTTATTAATATATATGATAAACTGTGATTCTCTTGATGCGTGTTAATTAATTAAACAACTAAGTTAGACTGGATATAAGAAATGTGTGAGACTCTTTAATTAATCTCTTATCGGTGATACAATTGTTGCCCTGATAGTAATATAGCTGGTCTTTCTATCCATAATATTAAGGAAAAGAATACTGAGCTTGAGTTGTGGCTTCGGTATCCTGATGTAGTGAGAAATACCATAATATCAAGTACTTTCCTAATGGTATGCTAGAAGTGTTGTTTTATACAACCCTGAAATTGAACAAATATATTTACAACTGAAATGTGATAAATACTATGAATAAAAGATAGTCTGGATTTGTTTGTTTAGAATCTGTGATTATTTCACATTATAATTAGTTATTAGACTTATAATAATATAAAGTGATACATACATACCTACATCTTTTAAGATATGTATAAGTATAGACTTGTGATGACCTGTAGTGTCGTACGAGGAAAAATTGGAAGTCTTCCTTGAATTGAGTTAATATAGACTATATGTTAAGGACCGTCAACACTTTTATTAAATTCGAGTCTATCTATTCTGTAAATTTATGTCGTTCAAATTGTCGGTCCGCCAAGTCGTTCGATCTTGCTTATTGTGTCAATATTTTTAAATTACTCGCGTTATTTGTGTCAGCCTCGCAGTAACGGCCGTCCTTTGTGATTATCGTCTTAAAAATTAAATATTTTGGCATGACTCTCGTCGACAGATTCTCGTTTGCGAAAGTACCCTTCGACTTGTTTTCAACGTCTCTTGTTTATTCGTTGTTCTATCACGACTTTCGCACGCAGAAAACACCTTGAAGTGTTTCCCGGTCAAACTGTTTTTTTGCTTCTTCTCGCATGGGCAAATTGAGGAGCGAACCGGCGTTCCCGCCGACTCTTTGTCAGAAGCCAACGAAAAATCATACGATCGAGATCGCGTCTGCACCTTGAGAATTCGAACAACTTGGCGGACTTATCATTAGTAACGGGAACGCGGAACTCTATCTAAGTGTCGCGTCCGTGATACGATTCGCATCATTATATTTAATTCGGACAAAGTGAATAAATGACAGTGTTGTTAATTTGATTCAACCATGGTGCATTTATAAATCTGTTCCTCTCGCTCGCTCCCGTCTTCAATCTTCAGTCTCGCGGTCGCGGTCCACTATCATTCTGTCTCTCTCTTTCCTTCTCAACGTTCTATCACTCTGTCTCTCTCGCTCCTTCTCAACGCTATACCGCCGTCTCTCTCATCGCACATTCATCCCGCGTTCTCGCGGAGCGGAACCCGCCGCACGCGTTCACGACATTCGAGTGAAACTCCTCGAATCACGAACATAAAATTTGGTCCTTCGAGCCGGATCGGGGTGACTCTGTGCGGATCTGTTCTGTGGCCTCCTCCACTCCAGCGCGGTGACAGGCGCCTACCTCGAAGCAAGGAGAGTTCAAAGCGAGCTTTACCATGAGCGAGCCTCTGGCGCAGCAGATCATTCTGCTGCAAACTATCGAGCGAAGTCTCACTAATTTTAAGAAGATCGGCAAGAACAATTACACTGCCGCAAAAATTCGGCAACGGATCGGGACCTTGAAGGAGAACTGGACTACCTGTGTGAACAAACACGCCAACCTCGTGCAGATCGTCCCACTAGAGCAACGAGCTAACATCAGCTACTTCCGAGACGCCGAGTTCGAGCGTCACCAGGAGATTTACGAAGGCACGCTGGACTACATGGCCGACTGCCTCGAGGAGCTGGAACCTGCACCATCGATGTCATCGTCTCCGCTGCATCCGATGAGTACAATAGATCGTTCATTTTTCTCGCTCACGCATTTACCGCCGATTAAACTCCCGCCCTTTTCCGGGAACCTCGATGAATGGGAATCTTTTCGAGATCGATTTACTTCGCTTATTATTCAAAACCAAGATCTCACTCCCTTTTCGCGTATGCATTTTTTAGCCTCAAGCCTCACTGGTCGCGCGTTAGATACCATTAAATCTATTCCGATTACTGCTACGAATTTCGAGATCGCGTGGAAAACACTCGCCTCACGCTTCGATAATAAGCGCCGATTAGTCGAAGTGCACGTATCCGCCTTATTCGATCTCCCGACGGCTACGCGCGAGTCCGCGTGCGAACTCAACGAACTTCGCGACAAAGCGAATCGGGCTATCGCCTCGCTGAGAGCTCTTCAGCGGTCGCCCGAGGAGATGCTCAGTGACATTCTCGTTCACTGCGTGTCGCAAAAATTGGATCATGCTACTCGGAAGGCATGGCGATTGAAAACCGGTGAGGACCCGCAAATTCCGTTGTTCGAAGCTCTCGATCGGTTCCTCGAGATGCGTGTTCGCGCGCTTGAAGAATTGTCACCGTCGAAAGCGGAAAAAATGCGTGGGCAAAAGGTGTCAAGCGCATCAGCGACCGTTTCAAAACTCGCGTATCCTTTGTGTCAAGCTGCGCATTTTTTGAGTAAATGCCCGCAATTCTTGAAGAAGACGCCGAGTCAGCGATCTGAACTCATTAAATCAGCACATCGCTGTATTAATTGTTTGAGCTCGAAGCACGCCGTGCAAGCGTGCCCGAGCAAATACTCATGTCGAATCTGTCAAAATAGACATCACTCGATGCTACATTCTGACTCGACCTCTTCTTCTAGCAATCCAAACTCAACGACCGTGTTAAACGCGACGTCGGATAAAAAAGAAAACGACTCAGTAACGGCACTATTTTCTACTTCGACGGTAACCACGCGCAAAAATGTACTACTCGCGACCGCCCGTGTTGCTGTTTTTTCGCCGTCGGGTCGTACACTCAACGTGCGAGCGCTCCTTGATCAAGGCTCAGAAATCACCTTTATCACAGAGCGTCTCGCTCAAAATTTAAAATTGCAACGCGTTCGATTGCCTCTTTCGATTTCCGCCGTCGGCGGCGTAGATGCGGGCATTTGTCGTTTCGCCGCTCAAGTCAAGATCGCTCCGATCAATTCTAACTCACCGGTGTTAACGACGACCGCGTCGATACTCAAAGTTTTAACTAAATACTCGCCATCAAAGGCATTCTCTCTGTGCGATTGGAGCTATCTTCAGGATCTTGCGCTCGCGGATCCGACTCCCGTCAGTGCCGAATCTATCGACCTCATCATCGGTGCGGACCTTTATCCCGAATTATTGCTTGACGGTATTCGGAAAGGAACGAGCGGACAACCGATCGCCCAGCGGACGATCTTCGGCTGGGTCCTCTCAGGCCCCACGTCGGATGCCGGTGCGCCGCATCGATCGGTTACCGTGCAGCATTGCGCGAGCGCGGATACTCTCGATCGAGAACTCAGATGTTTCTGGGAAGTCGAAGAAGTGCCGCGTCGCGCACTTCTCAGCCCAGAAGAACAACAGTGCGAACAGCACTTCGCACAAACACATTCGCGCGATGCTGACGGTCGGTACGTCGTGCGTCTGCCGTTCAGGCGCGGTCCACCAATCGACATTGGTGAATCGCGTTTTATCGCCGAGCGTTCACTCTCCAGTCTTCACCGACGATTTCGGTCGAACGCTGTTCTAAAATCCGACTACGTCGATTTCTTGCGCGAATACGAAGCGCTCGGTCATATGCGTCAAATTCCGGATTCAGTTCTTTCCGCTCAGCACGTATATATTCCGCATCATCCTGTCATCCGAGACAGCAGTCTCACTACGCGATTGAGAGTCGTTTTTAACGCGTCAAGTCGAACGACAAACTCGACTTCGTTAAACGATCATTTGCATGCAGGTCCGAAACTCCAGACGGAGTTACCTGCAGTGATCTTGCGATGGCGGCAATTCCGGTATGTATATGCGGCGGACATCGCGAAGATGTACCGCCAAATCCGTGTTGACTCTCGTGACATCGACTTCCAGCGAATCTTATGGAGCGCCGGCTGCTCAGATACCGGGCAGTCCTATCAACTGACCACTGTTACTTACGGGACAGCGTGCGCGCCCTTTCTCGCTCTTCGGGTTATACAACAGCTCGTGACGGACGAAGGCAGCTCGTTTCCTCTTGCCGCGCCGGTCCTGCATGAGAACATCTACGTCGATGATGTTCTGTTCGGTGCCGATGATATTCCGCTTCTCAAACAAACTCGCGATCAGGTCTGCGCTTTGCTCGGTCGGGGACGGTTCGAATTGAGAAAATGGTCGAGCAATTCCGCTGCTCTGCTGAACGATATCGAGGTCGACAACCACGGCCTCGCGTGCGATCGCACTCTTCGAATCGACGAACATCTAAGAATCTTAGGCATAAGCTGGAGCCCATCTTCCGATATGTTTCAATTTACCGTAACTCATATTCCGTCCGTTTCAAAAACCAAGCGGTCAATACTCTCGTACGTTGCCAAATTGTTTGATCCAATGGGGTGGTGCACGCCAGTAACAATCGCTGCCAAGATCTTTATGCAACAATTGTGGCAGCTTAAACTCAACTGGGACGATGTCCTTCCGACTGACGTCCGGCAAAAGTGAGAAGCCCTTCAGGCCTCACTTGCCGATCTCCACGGTCTCCAACTGAATCGATGGATTCAGCGAGGGTCTGACACTGTCCGCTGCGAATTGCACGGATTTTCTGACGCGTCCACTCACGCATACGCAGCGGCCGTGTATCTTCGGCTCACTTCTCTCTCTGGCGAAATCTCTTCTCACTTGCTAATAGGCAAGTCAAAGGTCGCTCCGATCAAGTCCCTCAGTATTCCTCGGCTGGAATTATGCGCAGCCGGATTGTTGGCTCGGCTACTCGAATTCGTGCGAACCACTCTTGGTCTCGCCACCTCCCCGTGCTATTGCTGGACAGACTCAACTGTCGTTTTAGCGTGGGTCACGCAACAACCGGCCAAATGGAAGACGTTCGTCGCGAATCGCGTATCAGAGATACAATCGCGCGTTCCGAACGCGGTGTGGAACCACGTTCCCACCGATGAAAATCCCGCAGATTGCGCATCTCGCGGAATCGCCGGGTCTCTCCTTCGAACTCACCCACTCTGGTGGTGCGGCCCCGCATGGTTGCGTAACCCGATCGACGAGCCGTCGACTTCTCGATCGCACAATTTCGATACTCAAATCGAACAAAAGGAGAGTATTCAGTCTCATTTAGCTTCGACGGAACTTGACTGCGACTTTACGATAAGATTTTCGTCGTGGCCTCGGTTAATTCGCGTAACAGCGTATATAATGCGCTTCATCAATAAAACTCGGAAGCAGTCGATTCCCGTTGACGACGTTAGGGAGAACACACTAGCGTTATCAGCCCGCGAATGTCAACTCGCGAAAGAGTTTGTTCTGAGACGGATTCAGAAAGAGCTCTTCCCTCTCGAGTTTGCTGCGCTTACAAGTCAACGAGCCATATCCTCGAAAAGCTCGATTCTGTCGCTCAACCCTTTCCTCGGCGAGGATGGATTAATCTGTGTTGGCGGGCGGCTTTCGCACGCGCCGCTTTCCTTTTCCGTTAAACACTCGATTATTCTCGCCTCGCATCCGCTAGTCGCTTTGGTTCTGTATCACGTGCATTTAAAATCTCTACACGCAGGTCTACAATTAACGCTCGCTACGCTACGACGCGAGTATTGGGTACTGCGCGCCCGAAGTCTCGCCAAACTCACTATTTTTCGTTGCGTTATTTGTACTCGAGAAAGGGCCACGATTCCCTTCCAACAGATGGGTGATCTGCCTCGCGTGCGGGTGACTCCTCCCGCACGCGCTTTTCTCAATTGCGGACTGGATTACGCTGGTCCGGTGCTCGTACGATCCTTGTCTGGTCGCGGAATCCCGTCACGAAAAGCGTATATCGCGATTTTTATTTGCATGGCGACTCGCGCCATTCATTTGGAGCTCGTGGAGGGCTACTCAACCTCAGCGTTTATCGGCGCGTTTTCTCGATTTTGCGCTCGACGCGGCCTGCCCTCGGCCATGTATTCAGATAATAGCACGAATTTTGTGGGCGCCGAACGCGAGCTTACCGCCGCGTTTTGCGCAGCTATCAGGGACCCGGACTTTCTCAATCGAACCGCTTCCGATCGAATCACGTGGCACTTTATGCCACCTTCCGCTCCTCATTTCGGCGGATTATGGGAGGCGGGAGTACGGAGTGTAAAGCACCATCTCCGTCGAGTGATTGGGGCTCATACTCTCACATTTGAGGAATTCTCAACAGTCTTATGCAATGTGGAGGCGTGTCTCAATTCCCGACCGCTCGCTCCTCTCAACGACTCGGTCGACGATTATGAACCGTTAACTCCCGGGCATTTTTTGATCGGCTCGGCCCTGACCGCAGTTCCCGAACCTTCCGTTTTGAATCTTCGCGAAAATAGACTGTCGCGCTGGCAACTCGTGCGCCAGATCTCAGAAAGATTCTGGAAGTTATGGCTTGACGACTATGTAAATACGTTACAACAGCGCGTCAAGTGGAAACGACCTGCCAAAACCGAGATCCGCGTCGGTCAACTCGTCTTATTGCGTAACCCTCTACTCCCCCTTGCAAATGGGAGCTCGCTCGCGTACTACGATGTCACACGGGTCAAGACGGATTAACTCGCGTTGTTACGGTGAAGACTGCGGCGTCCGAGTATAAGCGACCGATTAATAAGCTATGCCTGCTTCCAATCGATATCGAGAAGCTGGAGCCTCCGACGTAAAGCGACTTCACGCTCCCGATTTCAAAGGAAATCATACGTACTCTCGATATTCCGATCGCCTCTTTAAATTCTTCTAAATGTTCTCTTAGTTTTGTACTCATAGCATACATTTCGAAACGATAGTTTCGAGGCGAGCGGTATGTTAAGGACCGTCAACACTTTTATTAAATTCGAGTCTATCTATTCTGTAAATTTATGTCGTTCAAATTGTCGGTCCGCCAAGTCGTTCGATCTTGCTTATTGTGTCAATATTTTTAAATTACTCGCGTTATTTGTGTCAGCCTCGCAGTAACGGCCGTCCTTTGTGATTATCGTCTTAAAAATTAAATATTTTGGCATGACTCTCGTCGACAGATTCTCGTTTGCGAAAGTACCCTTCGACTTGTTTTCAACGTCTCTTGTTTATTCGTTGTTCTATCACGACTTTCGCACGCAGAAAACACCTTGAAGTGTTTCCCGGTCAAACTGTTTTTTTGCTTCTTCTCGCATGGGCAAATTGAGGAGCGAACCGGCGTTCCCGCCGACTCTTTGTCAGAAGCCAACGAGAAATCATACGATCGAGATCGCGTCTGCACCTTGAGAATTCGAACAACTTGGCGGACTTATCATTAGTAACGGGAACGCGGAACTCTATCTAAGTGTCGCGTCCGTGATACGATTCGCATCATTATATTTAATTCGGACAAAGTGAATAAATGACAGTGTTGTTAATTTGATTCAACCATGGTGCATTTATAAATCTGTTCCTCTCGCTCGCTCCCGTCTTCAATCTTCAGTCTCGCGGTCGCGGTCCACTATCATTCTGTCTCTCTCTTTCCTTCTCAACGTTCTATCACTCTGTCTCTCTCGCTCCTTCTCAACGCTATACCGCCGTCTCTCTCATCGCACATTCATCCCGCGTTCTCGCGGAGCGGAACCCGCCGCACGCGTTCACGACATTCGAGTGAAACTCCTCGAATCACGAACACTATAGTTGTAGCATAATTTGCTCTTCTTATAAAGTGTTAGATCTAAACATCAAATATTAATTAGAATTGATGATATTAATAATAATTATAATTTAATTAGACAAATAATCAAGAGTGAGTTATTTTACCTGTGATTAACACAGTGATGGAATGTAACACGTAAACTTTTGTTTATCAATATATATAATAAACTGTGACTCTTTTGATATGTGTAAATCAGTTGAACAACTAAGTTAGACTGGATATAAGAAACGTGTGAGACTTTTTAGCCTTTCATTGGCGATACAGTTGTTGTCCTGACAGTAACATAGCTGGTTTCTGTCTGTGACACTGAGGGAAAGTTTATTGAACTTGAATGTGTGGCTCTGGCATCCTGGTGTGATATGTATAGTTATAGACTTGTAATAATAGATGTCTTCTGCGAACTAAGCTAATATAGACTACAATTGCAGCATAATCCGCTCTTTTTATGTTGTATTAGATCTAAAACATCAAATATTAATTTAGAATTAATAATATCAATATAATTATAATCTAACTAGATAAATAAATAATCAAGAGTTACTCATTCTACCTGTGTTTACACAGTGATGGAATGTAACATGTAATACATCTGTTTATTATATATGATGAACTGTGATTCTCTTGATATGTGTAAATCAATTAAACTATAAGTTAGGCTGGATATAAGACACGTGTGAGACTTTATAATTAATCTCTTATTGGTGATACAGTTGTTGCCTCGATAGTAATATAGCTAGTCTTTCTATCTATAATACTGAGGAAAAGGTTACTGAGCTTGAGCATGTGGCCTTGATATCCTGGTGTAGTGAGAAATATCATAATATCAAGTACTTCTTAGTGGTATGTGAGAAGCGTTGTTTTACATAACTCTGAAATTGAACGAACGAATATATTTACAACTCCGAAATGTGACAAATATTATAAATAAAGGATAGTCTGGACTTACTTGATTAGAATCAGTGATTATCTCATATTATAATTAGTTATTAGACATATAATAATATAAGAAGTAATACATATATAAGAATTAAGAATATTAATAATAATTAGATAAATAAATAATCAAGAATGACTTACTTTACCTGCACTTAATATAGTGATGGGATGTAGCACGTAAAACATTTGTTTATCAATGTATATGATAAACTGTGACTCTTTTGATACGAGTAAATCAATTAATCAATTAAGATAGACTGGTTACAAGATATGTGTAAGGTTCTTTCCTTAATTAATCCCTTATCGGTGATACGGTTGGTCTTGATAGTAACATGGTGGTCTTTCTATTTAATACTGAGGAAGGGATTATTGAACTTGAATCTGTGGCCCTGTTATCCTGGCGTAGTGAGAAATATCATCATAATATGAAGCACTCTCTTAGTGGTATGTGAGAAGCGTTGTTTTATACAACCCTGAAACTGAACAAATATATTCATTAAAAGAAGCTCCTAAATTGTTTTCTGTGTTTAGTAATTGGACTTATGTTACTTGATAACTATATATGGATCACATAATAATATAAGAGGTGATTTATACTTTCTGGATATATGTACAAGCATGGTCTGATGTTGACTTGTAGTATAGACGAAGAATACCAGAGAAATTTTCCTGGGCTGAATGAACTTATATGGAGATTCCCATCGTAGTGTGGTTTTTGCTCTTTTCAAGCTTTTCCTGATGCAAACAAACAAACAATTAAGTTAGAATTAATAATTAATATTCAGCTATCTGATGACTAGTTTATTAGAATAACTGATTTGAGTGAAGACTGATAAATTAAACAATTGTGTTGTTTCTATGACATTATAAGTTACGTAACGGGTAAATAACATTATAATTATTAATAAAAGGAACTAGTAATTGATAAACTTTCAATATTAACTAATAAACTGAATAGTTAGTGTGTGAATATGCTTATTCAATATTGGAGAATGAAAATATTATTCATTGAACAATTATAAGTTTATAGTATTTTAATTACATATACTATTGTGACCTGACAAGTAGTAAGATGAAATCTTTCTTCATTGATGATCTTCATTCTATAATAATGCTGATGTCTGTTGTCATCTGATAATTTGTGAAGAATACTAGAAATTCTCATTGAGCTGTGTTAATTTGTACGAAGATTGCCATTGTATCTTGATTCTTCAAGCCTTTCCTGATATTAACATACAATAAAAATTTATTAGAATAACTAAATTAAGTGAAAAACTGACAATTGAACAATTACAGTGTTTCTATGACATTATAAGTTATGCAGTGGACAAATAACATTATAATTATTAATAAAGTAACTAGTAATTGATAAATTTTCAATATTAATTAATAAACTGAACAGTCAGTGTGTTAAATTTGCCTATTTAATATTGGTGAATGGAAATATTATCTATTGAATAATTATAAGTTTATCGTACTTTAATTACACATACTATTGTGATCTGATAAGTAGTTGAAGAATAATAAATGAATAAGTCTTTTCTTATTGATAATCTTCATATTTATTATAATGCTGGTGCTTGTTGTATAAAGTCATCATTACTATTTGATAATTTGTGAAGAATATTGGAAGCTCTCATTGGGCTGTGTGAATTTACATGAAGACTGTCATTGTACTGGTTTTTGGCCTCTTCTAGCCTATCCTGATATTAATATATAATTAAAGTTAATATTAATATTGTAACGGCGTAGCCATTACTAACGCCTCGCGGGCCGATCACCCGCCCGCCACTTGAGGCTATGGCGCCTAAGGCGCCCCTAAGCACAAAATCATAACTGATACACGGGTCACCCTACCCCAGGGGCGCCCCACTACAACCCCCAGAGGCGCCCCACTACGACGCCGGCGTTACCCCCACCACAGCCTCGAGGTAGAGTGGGGGAACCGCCGGCAGGGTATATAAGCCGGCTCGACGGATGAGCCGGCACCAGTCCTGTTCCGGACCTCCTAGCCAGGCAACGGGCTTCTCGTTGTTACGCCGGGTTTCTCGGTTTCTGGCCTCCTACCTTTAGTATCGGGCAACGGGTTTCTCGTTGTTACGCCGGGTTCCCGGTTTCCGGTCTCTTCCTGCTATACACCGGGTGACGGGTTTCTCGTCATTACGCCGGGTTTCCCGGTTTCCGGTCTCTTCCTGCTACACGCCGGGCAACGGGTTTCTCGTTGTTACGCCGGGTTTCCCGGTTTCCGGTCTCTTCCTGCTACACGCCGGGCAACGGGTTTCTCGTTGTTACGCCGGGTTTCCCGGTTTCCGGTCTCTTCCTGCTATACACCGGGTGACGGGTTTCTCGTCATTACGCCGGGTTTCCCGGTTTCCGGTCTCTTCCTGCTACACGCCGGGCAACGGGTTTCTCGTTGTTACGCCGGGTTTCCCGGTTTCCGGTCTCTTCCTGCTACACGCCGGGCAACGGGTTTCTCGTTGTTACGCCGGGTTTCCCGGTTTCCGGTCTCTTCCTGCTACACGCCGGGCAACGGGTTTCTCGTTGTTACGCCGGGTTTCCCGGTTTCCGGTCTCTTCCTGCTACACGCCGGGCAACGGGTTTCTCGTTGTTACGCCGGGTTTCCCGGTTTCCGGTCTCTTCCTGCTACACGCCGGGCAACGGGTTTCTCGTTGTTACGCCGGGTTTCCCGGTTTCCGGTCTCTTCCTGCTACACGCCGGGCAACGGGTTTCTCGTTGTTACGCCGGGTTTCCCGGTTTCCGGTCTCTTCCTGCTACACGCCGGGCAACGGGTTTCTCGTTGTTACGCCGGGTTTCCCGGTTTCCGGTCTCTTCCTGCTACACGCCGGGCAACGGGTTTCTCGTCATTACGCCGGGTTTCCCGGTTTCCGGTCTCTTCCTGCTATACACCGTATCTCTAAGTTATACCGGGTAATTTGTAAATCTTTTCCGGACACCGCTACAGGCTATACGCCTCCTTATTTTGTTTATACCGAGTAGTCAATAAGTTTCTCTATTTAGGGCTTTATGCCAACAAACATTTCGTTTATACCGAGTAGTCAATAAGTTTCTCTATTTAGGCTTTATGCCAACAATCATTTTGTTTACTTGTTTCTTTTTGAATAAACCAAAGTATTGTTAATAAGGAATAAGCGAGTCTGAATCTCCCCCTTCCTCCCGAATCCTGGAACCGGCGAGCCGATCCGCGGCGTCGGGAAAGGTGAACCGTTACATGGCGCCCGAACAGGGACCTGCCCAGTGGAGATCCCGACTCGCTTAAGCCTATCCAGATGCCCGCGTGGGTAAATCAATTATCAAAAACCGAAGCTATTGCCTTGGCCAAAAGACACGGAATCGATAGCCAAGGAACTTTAGACGAGGTCCGCCGACGCCTCCGCCGATTTGTCGGGCAAAACCCCGCGCTATTTCGAACTCACCTACCTGTGCCCACTATCAACGTCGAAATGGCCACCGGAAGCCCAACCAAAGACGAAGAAGCTACCACCCCGACACCTGTTGAACCAGCCAGGATCATGGACCAGATCCGAAAATGGGGGTGCCACTTCGAGGGCAAGGACCCCCTGGCATTCCTCGAGCGTACGGAAGAGCTGTGCCTGGGCTACGGCTACACCGACGCCCAGATGCTGTTAGGGCTACCCGAACTCTTACGGGGAGACGCCCTGCTGTGGTATCGCAACATCCGCGATACCATAGCCAGCTGGGCCGACTTTCGCCAAGCTGTCCGCCAGCAATACCTGCCAAGCGGGTATGAGAGACAGATGAAAAGGACGATCCAGGGACGTCAACAACGCCCTAAAGAGTCCTTCCAAAAGTACGCCACCGAGGTCCTGACCATGATGCGGCGCGCCGGGGGATATTCACCCCTAGACCAACTGGAACAGCTCTACGAAAACATGGATCCGGAGTACCAATTGTACATCCGTCGGGCGGACGTGCTCAGCGTCGGGGATCTGAGCATCCGAGCCACCGAATACGAAGAGGCCGACCGCCGAAGACAGGAACGACGAAGGGACGTGCCGCAAAGCCACACCCCGGTTGTAGCTTCCGCGGTCTACAGTCGGGAGGAATGTTGCTGGAGGTGCAAGCAACGAGGACATACACGCCTGCACTGCCAGCGACCTCCGAAGAAATTCTGCTCGAGATGTGGCAAGGACGGGGTCCTCACCCGTGACTGCCACCCCCCGACGGGAAACGGGGTGCGGGCCGGAGACGTCGCGGCCGTCGTCCAGCCCAACTCGGCCTAAAATACAACCCGAGACCGCACCTCCGGATCCAGATCGCCGGACAACATTTGTGGGGCCTCCTCGATTCCGGCTCAGAAATCTCATTCGTAAACGCTGAAACGGCCCGCCGAATCAACCGCACACCGTCTAGCCCAGATCTCAAGGCAGCCCAGATACGCCTGGCCGACGGGACGCAAGTCCCCATTGCCGAGACCATCGAAGCAACGGTCAGGTTACGAGGAAAATCGTACCGCCACCGCTTCTCCGTACTACCACAACTAGACAACGCCGTACTAATAGGCATAGACCTCTGGGCGAAATTAGGAGTCGAGCTGCGCCCGCCGCCCAGACCTGTCACCGAGACAACAACCAAAGATGGAATCGCGACAGCCAGTATCAGCCCAGGAACTACCAGCGAGGCGCTAAGGCTACAGGCCTTTCTAAATAACGAACTTCCAAAGTTCGAATCGGTCCGCGGCCCGACCGACAAAGCCACACACCAAATTCGGCTAAAACCGGGGCCGCCCATTAAACAACGATATCGGCCCCGTAATCCGGCCATGCAAGCCGTGATCGACCAAGAGGTCCAAAAGATGGAAGCCGAAGGAGTCATCGAGCCCTCCACCAGCGCCTGGAGCTCTCCGATAGTGCTGGCAAAGAAGAAAGACGGGACCTACCGATTTTGTATAGACTTCCGCCGATTAAACGCGGCCTCAGAAAAAGATGCATACCCGCTGCCTCACATTGCCGCCACCTTAGATAAGCTACGAGGCGCACACTACTTGTCCACGTTGGACCTACGCAGCGGGTATTGGCAAGTGCCACTAACTCCGGAGAGCCGCCCCGCAACCGCCTTCACGGTGCCAGGGAGAGGGCTGATGCAGTTCCGCGTCATGCCATTCGGACTGCATTCAGCACCGGCCACCTTCCAACGGCTGCTCGACACCGTGCTAGGACCCGAGTTAGAACCCCACGTCCTCGTCTACTTGGACGACATAGTTGTCGCGTCCCGTACTTTCGAGGAGCACCTAGGCCACTTGGCCGAAGTCTTTCGCCGCCTCCGTGACGCCCGACTCCGCCTCAACCCAGAAAAGTGTCACTTCTGCCGGCCAAGTCTTCGGTACCTCGGACACGTTATCGATCGGCACGGAATCCGGACGGACCCAGAAAAAGTGCGAGCCATTACCGATTGGCCTGCCCCCACGACCCTCCGCAGGGTTCGGCAATTTCTGGGGGTAGCGTCATGGTACCGCCGATTCATCGCTGACTTCTCCACTATCGCCGCCCCTCTCACTCGACTCACTAAAAAGAGAGCGCGCTGGACCTGGGCAAAAGAAGAAGAAACCGCGTTCCGGAAACTAAAACAGGCCTTAACCACCGCACCTGTCCTCGCCTGTCCAGATTTTGCGCGACCATTTCTACTACAAACCGACGCCAGCGCCCACGGGTTAGGGGCCGTATTAACCCAACACCTCGGCGAAGGAGAGCGGGTTATCGCGTACGCCAGCCGGACCCTCAACGCAGCCGAGAAGAATTATAGCGCTACCGAACTAGAGTGCTTGGCTGTCGTGTGGGGTATACGCCGGATGCGGGATTACCTCGAGGGCTACCGATTCACCGTCGTGACCGACCACCAAGCTTTAAAGTGGTTACAACACATCGAGGCCCCTACCGGACGACTAGCCCGCTGGATGTTCGAATTACAACAACATGATTTCGACATCCAGTACCGGCGCGGGACACTTAACCAGGTGGCAGATGCCCTCTCCCGCCTCCCGGAAGCTTTGGCGGTGACCCGGCCGAAATGCCGGTGGTACCACCGTAAACTAGCCGAAGTACGGAGACATCCGACCGATCACCCGGACTATAAAATCCAGGATCAACGATTGTACAGGCATATACTCCACGATCTGGACTTCCGGGAAACACCAGCCGAAGAGCAATGGAAGCAGTGCGTGCCTACAGACCAACGACCCGCCCTGCTTCAGCGAATGCACGACGACCCGGCCGCCGGGCACCTAGGCATTTCCAAAACATTGGCTCGGGTGGCCCAGCTATATTACTGGCCCGGCATGTTTCGGGAAATTGCCCGGTACGTCCGAGGGTGCGCTAATTGTGCGCGGCACAAGGCCAGTCAACAACGACCGGCTGGTCGGATGATGGCCACCTCTGTCCGCGCACCATGGGAACAAGCCGCCGTAGACCTGATCGGTCCCCTGCCTCGATCCACTAGCGGCCATACCTGGCTATTAACCATACAAGACCGGTTCAGTAAGTGGATCGAAATGGTCCCGCTTAGAAAAGCCACCGCCGTAGCCGTAGCCCGAGCACTCACCGACCGCCTGATATACCGGCACGGGTGTCCGGTCGCCCTGGTATCCGATAACGGGACTCAGTTCGTCGCGCAACGCATTAAGGCCTTGCTAGCTTCCTACGGGATACAACATCGGACATCCCCCGTGTACACTCCGCAATGCAATCCGGTAGAGCGAGCGAACCGTACGGTTAAAACAATGATCAGCCAGTACGTAGGCCGGCGGCACAAAGACTGGGACGAGCGAATCCCCGCCTTACAGTTCGCCATCAACACCGCCCGACATGAGGCCACCGGATACACTCCGGCCTACATCCTGCATGGCCGAGAGCTCGCCCGCCCACATCCAGAGGATCGACCAGGAACCGCACCAGCACCAGGACCAAGCACCCGCCAGACCCAGTTGGAGGACGCCTACAAGGTGGTCCGAATCCACCTCGCCCGGGCCTTCCAGCGGCAAGAGAAGCCGTACAACCTGCGGCGACGAGACTGGCGACCGCAGCTGGGCGAACGCGTCTGGAAACGCGACCGCCCCCTGTCCAGCAAGGCCAACGCGTTCAACGCCAAGCTGGCCCCGAAGTACAGCGGACCGATGACTGTCCGGAGGATCGTATCCCCCGTAATCGTTGACCTCAAGGACGCCCGAGGACGATGGCACCGCCACATCCATGTGCAGGACCTCAAGGCGGCATCCGAGGAAGAGGACGAGGAAACCATCGGGGCGTAGGACAGGACCAGCCGCCGTGATTCCTCCAGCGCCATACCGCCCACGCCACTCGGAAGTTCCGAGCCACTTTCCCTACTGGACGGTGGATGATACGGTTCGACCGTTTCGGCCGATCACGTACGATCCACCGTCTAGGGAGGGGGTAGTGTAACGGCGTAGCCGTTACTAACGCCTCGCGGGCCGATCACCCGCCCGCCACTTGAGGCTATGGCGCCTAAGGCGCCCCTAAGCACAAAATCATAACTGATACACGGGTCACCCTACCCCAGGGGCGCCCCACTACAACCCCCAGAGGCGCCCCACTACGACGCCGGCGTTACCCCCACCACAGCCTCGAGGTAGAGTGGGGGAACCGCCGGCAGGGTATATAAGCCGGCTCGACGGATGAGCCGGCACCAGTCCTGTTCCGGACCTCCTAGCCAGGCAACGGGCTTCTCGTTGTTACGCCGGGTTTCTCGGTTTCTGGCCTCCTACCTTTAGTATCGGGCAACGGGTTTCTCGTTGTTACGCCGGGTTTCCCGGTTTCCGGTCTCTTCCTGCTATACACCGGGTGACGGGTTTCTCGTCATTACGCCGGGTTTCCCGGTTTCCGGTCTCTTCCTGCTACACGCCGGGCAACGGGTTTCTCGTTGTTACGCCGGGTTTCCCGGTTTCCGGTCTCTTCCTGCTACACGCCGGGCAACGGGTTTCTCGTTGTTACGCCGGGTTTCCCGGTTTCCGGTCTCTTCCTGCTATACACCGGGCAACGGGTTTCTCGTTGTTACGCCGGGTTTCCCGGTTTCCGGTCTCTTCCTGCTACACGCCGGGCAACGGGTTTCTCGTTGTTACGCCGGGTTTCCCGGTTTCCGGTCTCTTCCTGCTACACGCCGGGCAACGGGTTTCTCGTTGTTACGCCGGGTTTCCCGGTTTCCGGTCTCTTCCTGCTACACGCCGGGCAACGGGTTTCTCGTTGTTACGCCGGGTTTCCCGGTTTCCGGTCTCTTCCTGCTACACGCCGGGCAACGGGTTTCTCGTTGTTACGCCGGGTTTCCCGGTTTCCGGTCTCTTCCTGCTACACGCCGGGCAACGGGTTTCTCGTTGTTACGCCGGGTTTCCCGGTTTCCGGTCTCTTCCTGCTACACGCCGGGCAACGGGTTTCTCGTTGTTACGCCGGGTTTCCCGGTTTCCGGTCTCTTCCTGTTACACGCCGGGCAACGGGTTTCTCGTTGTTACGCCGGGTTTCCCGGTTTCCGGTCTCTTCCTGCTACACGCCGGGCAACGGGTTTCTCGTTGTTACGCCGGGTTTCCCGGTTTCCGGTCTCTTCCTGCTATACACCGTATCTCTAAGTTATACCGGGTAATTTGTAAATCTTTTCCGGACACCGCTACAGGCTATACGCCTCCTTATTTTGTTTATACCGAGTAGTCAATAAGTTTCTCTATTTAGGGCTTTATGCCAACAAACATTTCGTTTATACCGGGTAGTCAATAAGTTTCTCTATTTAAGCTTTATGCCAACAATCATTTTGTTTACTTGTTTCTTTTTGAATAAACCAAAGTATTGTTAATAAGGAATAAGCGAGTCTGAATCTCCCCCTTCCTCCCGAATCCTGGAACCGGCGAGCCGATCCGCGGCGTCGGGAAAGGTGAACCGTTACAATATTTAATATTAATTATCTAAATAATTAGCTTATTAGAATAACTGATTTGAGTGAAAACTGACAATTAAACAATTATGGTGTTTCTATGACATTATAAGTTACGTAGTGAGCAAATAACATTATAATTATTAATAAAGTAACTAGTAACTGATAAATTTTCAATATAAACTAATAAACTGAACAGTTAGTGTGTGAATTTCAATATTGGAGAACGGAAATATTATCCACTGAATAATTATAGGTTTATAATACTTAAATATATACACTATTGATACCTGATAAGTAGTTGAAGAAGAAATCTTTCTTTATTAATGATCTTCATATATTCATTATAATGCTGGTGCCTGTTGTATAAAATCATAGGTATCATCTGATTTTGTGAAGAATATTAGAAACTTTCATCGGACCGTGTGAACTTATATAAAGACTGCCACTGCAGTATGGCTTTGATCCCTTCAAACCTTTTCTGATATTAATAAATAACCAAAAGTCAGAATTAATAATTAATTAATATTAATTACTTAAATAATTAGCTTATTAGAATAACTGATCTGAGTGAAAAGCTAATAATTGAACAACTGTATTGTTTTTATGACATTATAAGTAATATAATGGGTGAATAACATTATAATTATTGATAAAATAATTAGTAATTGATAGATTTTCAACATTTAACTAATAAACTGAACAGATAGTGTGTGAAATGTGCCTACTCAATAATGGAGAATGGAAATATTGCCCCTCGATGCAAATGGATCTCAACTGAAGAAGCTGATGCTGACGATACTGAGTGCTGCTAGCTGGAATACACCTTGGTGGGCTCTCTGAGGACTGCCTGGAGTTCAGCCATGGATGCGCAACTCCTGAAAAGTTAAGTGGCATTGATTACGGGTGTTCTCTATGAATTTGACTTTACGTAACATCACATTAGTAAAGGTTTTTAAGATTATAACCTAATAAATTGAAATATAGGTTGTAATAACCTTAATGACATTTAATTTATATTATAAACAAAGTTAATAAGTGAATTCAATTAGTACGCACACTATAAACTCATAAAGCGATAATAGACTACTATGATATCAAATCATATATAAATAAACAATATTAACTACTTACGCTGCATCTTGCTTTGCGAATAATCTTGAGGTATGATCACTTTAGTGTTAGAAATAATAGCCGGAATCTCATACCCTTGCGTTGAACTTATGATGACTTGTATTTGCCTCCGTGACTTGATGGGATGTGTACTTTAATAGCAAGAAAGTGTTAAACATATTGCGTTCGATAATAACAACACGAGTTATAGTATGCACTTAATTGGCATTGTAATTACAATTATAGAATTTGATACTTGATATTTATATGAGGGTTATAATTATATTAAGAATTACCTTGTATAAGTTATTGCATATTAGCATATATTAATAAGGATAATCAATGTTGGCAGCGTAAACCAGATTATTACAGCTTGACTGTGATCTCTATTTAGATATTTCTATTGCGAGTTCAATTAATATATAACATCACGTTACAACCTGTCACCTAATAAAGTGAGGTTGGGATTCACGTAGGATTGTTTTCTTCCTCGTGGATATACTAAAGTTACCAAAAGAGCATTGACGCGCCATCTATCGATGTCTGGCTGAGCCTTGTAGCAAATGCAATGAACAGTCATTGAATAAGATATAGATGGGTAACTCTGTGTTCCTAAACGAGATTATATAAGTTACTAGATCTAGGGGAATTGTTAAATTGGCCAATCTCTGGTTTTCTCTTATTTAATGCATCATTAAGGGCGTTTCTAATATTAAATCAGTAAATTTAACAGTTAAAGAGTTACCATAGCTTATTTGCATGCATATTTATAGCGTTAATAGTAATTTTCTATAGTATTACATTAATTATTGCGTAATTACAAACAGTTTAAACATTTATTTACAATTAATATACATATATATGAAGTGCTTATAATGCATGTGTAGAATATATTCTACTGTAGTATTATGCGTTTTGTCAACTCATATGCGATTGAGTAATTGAACAGACGCAATAACCGAGTGTATTACAGGTGTATATTAATAATTTTGAGGCTTCTCCTCCTCAATTGTTTTTGAGGTATGGAAGATGGCTACAATGTAATGCACCTGTCAAATGACTTATGTTATTATATATTGTAACTAAACCTAAATTAATTTTAATGCGTGGATCCCAGGTGTTAGTAATTTAACATTTAGGGAATCCTTGCGGCTTTTAATAATAGATGTCACTGAACTGATATATTTGTAGCGACTTATAAATAAATTCACCAGATCTTTAAAAAAAAAATGTTTTTTATTGAAAGTATAAAGCGAAAGAACAAAAAGAATTAATATGTAACAAATAAATGAATGAATGTGTTGTTATGGAAATATTGATTTTTCTTAAAAACATTATGTATATTAATGAATTGAAGTTATTACAAATGTATAAAGATGTAAAAAGTGTAAAAGTGCAGTGAAAAGTGTAAGGTGTAATAAAAGTGTAGAGTGTAAATGAAAGGTGTGGATGATGAATGCTACAGTACTCCCCCCCAAGTGACGATATTCGTTGCGAAATGGACTTTCTTCTTCTTTGGTGGGTAGGTGCGTAAAGCTTTTCCAACAGTAGAAGAAGAAGAAGGATTTGAAGTAGCAGAAACAGGAGCTGAAGTAGCAGGAACAGGAGCTGAAGTAGCAGGAACAGGAGTTGAAATAGCAGGAACAGGAGTTGAAATAGCAGGAACAGGAGCTGAAGATCTGGTAGAAAGTTCAGTAGAATCTGAAGTTCTAGGAATGAAGGCTGGCTTGAGACGTTCTGTCGAAATATTGACAACTCTTCCTGAAACATTAACTGCAAATAAATGATCAGAGATACGTTTCTCAATAGGAAAAGGGCCAGAATAAGGAGGTTGTAGTGACTTCCTAACAGTATCTTCTCGAATCCAAACATGAGTACAATCAAAAAGATTCTTGTGAACAAAAGGTGATCTTTTGCAATGATGACTTGTAGGAGATGATCTGATATTCCTCATATGAATCCTGTGTTTTTCAAGAAAGATTTCAGGATCTGCAGGAAAATCTTCTTCAATGAAAAATTCTCCAGGAATACGAAGAGTGGATCCATAAAGAAGTTCTGCAGGTGAAGCTTTTAAATCTTCTTTGAAACACGAACGTAATCCCAAAAGAACTGAAGGTAAAGATTCTACCCAGTTGGTTGTTTCGTGGCACATAATCGCTGCTTTCAAAGTCCTATGCCATCTTTCCAGAATTCCATTTGAAGCAGGATGATAAGCAGAAGTTCTAATCCTTTGGCATCCAATTAGGTTTGTTAAAGCTTTGAATAAAGCTGCTTCAAACTGAGGACCTTGATCTGTTGTAATGCTGATAGGAGAACCAAAACGTGCTACCCAATGTGAATAAAATGTTGTAGAAATAGTTTCAGCAGAAATCTCAGAAATAGGAACAGCTTCAGGCCATCTGGAAAAACGATCAATCATAGTAAGACAATAACGGTAATTTTGACAAATAGGAAGTGGTCCAACAATGTCTAAATGCACATGCTGAAAGCGTTGATCAGGAATTGCAATCTTAATTGGAGAATTCTTGGTGTGTCTTGAAATCTTCGCACGTTGACATGGAAGACAAGTTCGAGTCCATTCCTTCACATCTTTCTTCAAAGAAGGCCAAATGAATTTCAGTAGTAATTGTTTAGATGTCAATCTGCCGCTGGGGTGAGCGAGTCCATGAACAACATCAAAAATTCTCTTGCGTAAGAGTTTAGGAACATATGGACGAATTAATTCCGAAGAGCAATCACAATAAATAGGTATGGTTGATCCTGAAAGAATAAGTTTCTTCAACAGAAGTGAAGAATTTGAAGAAAGTAAAACTTGAAGTTCTTCATCTTCTTTCTGATAATTAGCAAGTTCTTCTAAAGAAACTATAATAGGCATTGAAATAGATTCAATTCTTGACAGAGCATCAGCAACTGAATTCATTTTTCCAGAAATATAGGTAATATTTGTAGAGAATTGAGCAATAAAGTCCAATTGTCTGATCTGTCTTGGTGACGCTTTATCCAATTTCTGACGGAAAGCAAAAATCAAAGGTTTATGATCAGTTCTGATAATCAATTGTCTTCCTTCAACAAAATGCCTGAAATGTTTAATAGCCAAATAAATGCTAAGAAGTTCTCTATCATAAGTGCTATAATTTCTTTGAGCTTTGTCTAGTTTCTTTGAGAAAAATGCTATTGGTTTGATATCGTCGTCAATAGACTGTTCAAGTGATGCACCAACAGCAAAGTCAGAAGCATCACAAGTTAAAATAAGAGGAGCATGAGGAGCAGGATGAGAAAGGGTAGTAACTTGTAAAAGTTCTTCTTTACATGACTCGAAAGCTAATTCCGCTTCTTTAGTCCAAGAAATAATTCTTCTATCCCTCTTGCGACTGTCCTTTAAATATTCTGTTAACAGAGCTTGATGATTTGCAGCATCCTTGAGACAGCGACGATAATAATTGATAATTCCTAAGAATCTGCGTAATTCATGAAGTGTCTTAGGTTTAGGATAATCAATAATTGATTTCACTTTTTCGGATGTAGGTTTAACTCCTTGGTTAGAAACTAAGTAACCAAGAAAAGAAATCTCGCTTTGACCGAAAAGACATTTAGCGACATTGATTGTCATTCCAGCTTGTTGAAGACGATCAAAAATAATGCGTAAGTGAGCAATATGTTCTTTCTCATCTTTAGAAGCAATAAGAATGTCATCAAGATAACAAAAGGCAAAACTCAAATCATTAAGTAAAGAGTTCATGAGCCGTTGAAAAGTTTGGGCTGCGTTTCGTAAACCGAAAGGCATTACGACAAATTCAAAAAGCCCAAATGGAGTAGTGACAGCTGTTTTGTGAATATCTTCTTTAGCGACGGGTACTTGATAGTACGCTTTAACTAAGTCGATTTTAGAAAAGATATTCTTACCAAAAAGTGAAGAAGAAAAATCTTGAATATGAGGTAAGGGATAACGATCCGGGATAGTCACTGAATTGAGTGCACGATAATCACCACACAGTCTCCAAGAATTTTGTTCCTTTTTAGGTACCATATGTAGAGGGGCTGCCCAGGAGCTGCTTGAAGGCCTGCAAATTCCTTGCTCCATCATAGACTTGAATTCTTCCTTGGCACATTTAAGTTTCTCAGGAGTAAGTCTTCTGGGAGTCGAAAATTTAGGAGAACCTTCCGTAACGATATGATGTTCAACACCATGCGTTTTTACCGAGGAAATTGGAGAAAAACGGGTGAGTCCTGGAAATTCGGTTAAAAATTTGTGGTACACAGAATCAGGAGATGTGGTAAAAATTGACAAATGTGCAACTTCTTGAATTTTTCCAGTATTCATAAGACCGGTAACATTATCAATCAATTTCTTGTTTTTAATGTCAATTAGGAGATTAAAATGACAAAGGAAATCGGCGCCTAAAATAGGACGTTGAATATCCGCGACACAAAATTTCCATTTGAATTCTCTCCTTAAACCGAGGTTCAAAATTAAAGTTTTAGAACCGTAAGTATTAATTTGAGTACCATTTGCGGCAAAAAGTTTTAAATTAGTATGCCACGGCTTCAATAAAACCTTTTTAGGTAACAACGATATATCAGCGCCCGTATCGACAAGAAAATTCAAATTTGAATGTCTGTCGAAAATAATGAGGCGATTGTTAGAAACACCGTCGTAAGCAGCCTCAGTCTTAAGCGGCGTTTTTAGTTTTCCTGTGAAGCCAAGAATGTTTTGGACATAGAACAAGGTAAAGTACATCGTTTAGCCTTATCACCAAACTTCTTATGGTAAAAACAAATTGATGTATCTTTAATATCTTTATTTGATTTGTCTTTGTTACGCGATAACGATCTAAATCTTCTATTCTCTCTAGACCGGCTTTTGGAACGATCTCGACGACGAGAAACTTCAAGAGCTTCGATTCTTCGTAGCAAATCCGCGAAATCCGAAGATTTATTATTTGCATTATTGGAAACTTCCGCGACTTGCAAACCGCCGTCCCGATCAGCAATTTTATCGGCTAATTCCGCAAGTTTAACAAGAGGAACATCCTCTACTACGGCTAAAGTCGTTTGAATTCTATGTGGTAAGCGTTGAAGCCAAATCATTTGCAAAACACTATCTGCTAAAGATCCTCCAGACAAATGACGAATTTCTCGAAGTAATTCCGAAGGCTTTTTATCACTAAGTTCAATTCCAGCTAATATTTGTCTCAAACGTTTTTCCTCTGAATCCGTAAAGCGATTTATTAATATTTTCTTTAAATAATTATATTTATCTGTTTCAGGTGGATTTTCAATGACTTCAGATATGTTTACTAAGGCTTGTTCATCAAGATGACGAATGACAGAACTATATTTAATATCATCTGATCGAATTCGATAAACCGTAAACTCACTTTCAATAGAAGCAAACCAGAGTTTAGGTTGTTTATGCCAGAAAGTCGGTAGTTTTAATAAACGAAACTCATTTGAGTGAATTTGTAACATAGGATCACTCACCTGATGTCCAGTTTGAGAAG